AGTTAATCAGCACCAATAGCTGATTACTGGAACAATCGGTTATTGCCAAAAATCCATACTGATTGTTTTACCGAGATGCGTCCCTTGGTGGAGCAGCTGAAGGTCTGCTATCATTATACAGTACCAGAATGGCCTCTAGAGGCGGAATCACTGACGACACATGCTGTTTGTTTTGATGTTTGTTTTCATATCATTATAAAGCCATTAATTTGTTGACTAGATGCTGCATTATTGGAGAATAGCCATATTTTTGCAAGGCTGAGAGGCCAACATTAGTAGCACCTAAAGCGGTTAAAACAATGTGGGAAAAAAAACTAGTGTATTTAAAGCTAATGATGTGAGAAAGCAAATTTATATGTTCATGCAGCCGACAGAAACGCATAAACCAATTAGAAACACATCCTATTTGGGCTTTACTGTAATATAGGGGTGTCAAACATAAGGCCCGCGGGCCGAATACGGCCCATAAAGGTGTCCAATCTGGCCCGCGGGATGATTTACTGTAAAATATAATCAAAACATTTTGAAAATTAAATAGTGTATTCGCTACAATATTTTATTTTTAATTTAAAGCGGAACAAATTGCTAATTTATTTGCGTTAATTTTACGCCTCGGGACACCTAACACATGCACGTTTTAAAACGGTCCCAGAATCTCAAGCAGCACGATGATAATATGATGATAGCTGTGTTAGCTGATGCTTGTGTGGCAAGTTACTTGTGATTTTAAACATGTCCAAAAGAAGACATTTGACCTGGAAGGGCGGATAGGTTATTTAACCACTTACTGTGCGCCCCTATTTTTGAGCATTTTTTGAAAAACGACATACCCAAATAAAAATGTCTGTAGCTCTTGAACCCTATGGTCTATATTTATAAATCTGGTATTGTTTGAAACTAGACACTTGAACCTTTGTTACTCTGGAGTCATAACTCAAAATTAGTATAGCAACAGAGTAAAACAAGGTAAAATGTACATGAAAGTGACTCACGATATCTTTGAATGAAATTCACTAAGGGAAAAATGGATGAGACTTTGATGCTAAAGGCCTGAAAATCGGCTAATTATCATTCTCTCCATCACTTTGCATAAATTAGATGTTAAAGAAATTGGTCTATAATTTGATGCTTTTGAGTGATCCTTTCCAGGCTTTCCAATTATCACTCCGTGTTTCCAAGAGGTAGGGAGTTTTCCTAACTTCCATATCTTATTAAAAAACTCTAAAATAATGTTCAGAGACACATCTGATGTATTGATTTAAAAAACAAGCTCAGAACATGGATCTTGAGTGTTTTAGCTGTCAAATGATATATAGTTTATGATAGTTGATTGAATATTGTTTTAAAACAAAGGTAATAAAAAGCACAGACACTAAACACGCCCTTCGGTGCGGGTTAACAGGTTAAGGAGAAATGGAAAGAAAGGTTCTGTGATCTCAACACCGACAGGTATGTTTAATCACAACCCATGGCTGCGGTAAATGTGTGCAATATTAAACGACACTGCGACGCACTGGACAGCTTAGCATGGAAAAAGTAAATGAGCTAGGGGTGTGCGATATTTATCGTGTACTAATATCGTAACTGTTGTTTTAATGATGTGCGAGCTGACATTTTGTAACTTTGCAAAACAAACAAAAACACATCATGAGAATTTTCAGTACCTGATGAAGGCTATCAGAATACAGTTATAATAGAATTCAAGATATGGAGGCAAAAATGTCCTGTAAGAGTTTTTGTTTTTAATATTTATGTCATGAGAGTCAAGTAATATCTAAATATAACAAGAGTGTTGCTTTCCCGAATGTCAGCGTGATTGCAAATGAATTGATTTTATACAACAGTTCAACAAAAAAGATGCTAGTATTAAGTGTGTTACATTTTAGTCACAATGTTTATCTCTGTTTTGGCAAGAAAAGGTTTTTAACAAAGCTGGAGTAAACCAATTTTGTGTCTCAGAGCAGCACTGTGTATTGCTACTGAATGAATCTGTGTTTTTGAATAAATCATTTGAGTCAATGATTCAGTGGCCCGTTCATGAAGACAATCACTAGCTTCGTTTCTAAATGAATCAGCCGTTTTGAATAACTCTTTTGAATGAATGAGTCAATGGATCACTCATTAAAGGGTTAGTTCACCCAAAAATGAAAAGTCTGTCATTAATTACTCACCCTAGTGTTGTTTGAAACCCGTAAGACCTTCGTTCATCTTCGGAACACAATTTAAGATATTTTTGATTAAATATGAGGGCTCTCTGAACCTCCCATTGACAGCAAGGTAACTACCATGTTCAAGGTCCAGAAAAGTACCAAGATGATCGACAAAGTAGTTGTGACATCAGTGGTTCAACTGTAAAAGTTACGAAGCTACGAGAATACTTTTTTGCGCGAAGAACGACAGTTTCATGACGCGAGCGTGTGGCGGCGCTGACCCAGATCTGACGTAAGGACGTCATCACGCCGGGTCTGGGTCAGCGCCGGCGCTGCCACACACTCGCGTCATGGTACTGTCGTGAACGTGCATCCACAAGTGACGCAGTAGAGACGAAAATGTGGAATAAAGTCGTTATTTTTGTTTTCTTCGCGCAAAAAAGTATTCTCGTAGCTTCGTAACTTTACAGTATTTTTTGTGTTCCAAAGATGAACGAAGGTCTTACGGGTTTGAAGCAACACGAGGGTGAGTAATTAATGACAGAATTTGGGTGAAATAACCATTTAAGATGGGGACTTGCCGCCAAAAAAATAAAACATTTTGTGTCAATATTGCACACACCTAAAATAACCTAGCATCATGTTTGAAAAAAGTTTTTCTTGATTTTTTTGTAAATTATATTGTAGTTTGTATGGTTAATATTAATGTAATTGTGAGCAAACTAGGGTTTAACAATCGGTAATTCAGCCCACACAAGGGGACATTTTCTCAGATCCAGCCCTCAACCTAAAATGAGTACATACATATTTTGTTATGTATGTATCCATTTTCAATGCTATGCCTTTAGTGTAGTTCACTTGTTTGAAGCAGAACCTCTCTAGGTTTAGACAACACATCAGTACACTAGAACAAAACAAGATCTCGAAATATCTCTATAGACATTTATGTTGGAAGACAAGACAAAGATGCTGATGAAAACTAGAAGGTTTTCAATAAATTCAGTTGGATTTTATGTTGGTATCTGTCTGTCTGTCTATCTAGCAGTACAGTGTGTACTGTACTCTGAGGGCTGCCCCCTCTTCAAAGTTTTTCCACAGTAGTCTGATATTTCCTTATTTTCCAGTCCACTTTCCATTCTAGCATCAGAAGGGCTGCTCCTGAACCCTGTTATTGGAAGAACCTCCGTCTCTTGCAATCTTTTTCATAGATGCGTTCATAGGTATATGTGATCAGACGTTAAGTTTGTCTTTGAGGTGAAGGTCATGCCACATTCTTTGAGTCCACTGAAATTGGAGCCATTTTTCTTTCTTTCTTTGCTGCTTCATTGCTTTAGTAAACTTTAGATTGAAAATAGCTGTTAATCACTCTATGTGAGTGTGTGTTTGTGAGTCTGTCCCCATTGTTAATGTCTTTACGAGCTGACCAGTGATGGAGCAGGGTGTGTACCTGATGTGGGGCTTCGTGGAGTTAATTTTGGATTTTGTCTGTGTGTGTGGCAGTTATTGAACTTGGAGCAAGGTTGTCCTGTGAAGGTCCACGTTCATGGTTGACCCATACTGACCACACTTGCTCCTGACCTCTGTAATGAAACATTTCTTCAATGCATCCAATATTTAATCCAACTCATTCCAGACTGGACAGAGATTAAACCATCATATCCTCTATAACCTTCACAAGCACAGACACTTTGTCTTTACCGGCTTGAGCTGAAACCGACCTTGAAGAAAGACGTCTGTGACAATATTTCGTTTTATTGCCTAAACAAATTGAACAGAAATGGGGTGGGAGTTTTGAGTGCCTGAGGCTGCTTTTTTTAATCAGTGGTTGTTTTAACTCGTTTTGCTTCGGGACCCAGATTACGTTGGGTCAGACATCAAGTGACGACGACCCAACACAGTTCCAAAATTGCTTTTTGTGGGGAAAAAAGCCCCTACAATTAAAAAGTTAAATATATTGATAATACTGTGAACTATGTTTTGATTTACTATTAATTGGGGGTTTTTTTCATGGTAACTATTACTAAATACTTATTTGTGAAATTACATAATTATTTTTTCAATTATGATTTAAAGTGTACAGATCCCTAACAGATGTAATGTTTGTTTGATTTCTAAATGTCTCTTTATTTCCATAATAGACATTGTGGGGAGCACAAATGATTATTCTAGTTGCAAATATATTTTAGTATTTTGGATCATTTTTTTCTTTTAACTTGTGCAGTTTTGTTGATGGTTTTTGAGGATGAGGGGATGTCACGCAATCTGCTCATGCTGGAATCTGGCAAATTTGGATGCTTTTGCCAATACAAAATTTGCCCCAAAATACCATCAACAACAAAAGTTATGGAACGTGTGTTCTCCTCCCAGAGGCTTCTGTCTGGTGTAGATACTAATACTCAGGAATAGAATGTTGTGTAAAATGTTGAAGCTGATTTTGAAAGGGTATGTTTTGATAAACAGATGGTCTCTGAAACATCCGTCAGGCTATTCAAATAACATACAGCTTCAGCACTTTCCTCCATGCCATGCACATATATAAAATGACAGGAGACAGTTTTCATCCAGACAGACAGAGTGCCTTTTAAGCCTGCAGTAGACTTCAAACCTTCTTCGTTTCAGAAATGGGTGATAGGAGTGTACAAATCACTGCGTCCCTCCTCACTGAACCATTTCACATTTCTACCTTCACCTGAAATAAATGTCTGCGGGTTTCGCTTTTCTCATAAATGCCACCACTACACACCCAGCCCCCTTGTGCAATTGCCTGTCCTGAAATATTAGTGAAACTTGAGAAGTGTATGTAACAGAGCTCTCTCATGTTTTATCCTTTTTTTTTTTTTTTCTTGACAGATTGAAGACACCCAAACGGGCCGTGTTTGCAGGCAGCATGCAGCTGTTGGCTGGCATTAAGCTGTGCACGGAGAGAATATTGACAAACCATCCACACTATGAGGACCAAGCACTGAGAGAGAGGACCAGACAGGTAAGAGTCTCAGGATTGATTTGCATGAATCAGAATTCAATCCAAGTTCTACTATATCTAGGAACTCCAGTTCTCCTGGGACAAAAATCGACTCGCCTTTCGGGACGTGTTTTTTGTTTATTTGGTGTCATGTGGTCCAACCTAGCTATCGGTATCGGCAAAATCCACTATCGGTCGACCTCTAGTGTCAATACTAAAATGCTGCAAACAACACTAGTCTGGAGAAGTTTTTTTGAAGACACAAGCAGCAATCAAGGGTGTATTGGTTTACAATTGTGCAGCAGTCACAAAGTATACACATATTTTATTTAATGAATATTATTTACATAAAAAATACACAATAATATTTTGTTTCAGAGCTGAACATATAGTCTACATTATATAAAACGAAAAACTTCTCAGAAGCATATGAAGAATGAAATCTTCTCTTTTGAAATCATGCCCTATTATGTTAATTGAAATAAATGAAGCAGCAATAAATCAGTCAGAAACTAACACTAACACTGAAAACTCTTTAGATACTGTTAGACGAAATAAATGCATTGGAGTCTAAAAGTGTGTACCTTAAATCAGCTGATAATCTCGATGAGCTTACAAATGGGCCGTGTCAAGAAGATCATGAGAAATGGTTCATAAATCCTCTTTAAGGGTTTTCTTAATGGCATATGTGGTGTTATATACTTGGCCTCATCAGCAGAAGTGTGACTTTTAGCATAATTTAATTAGGTTTCTCATTGAGGTGGTTGGGAGTTTACACATCAGTGGGTGTCTTTATGAAGTGAAATAAACTCCACAGCACTGCTCTGATATATGGTACTTATCTATAAAAATATCCTCATTAAAATGTGTAATGTACACTGACTTGTCTGAGCTGTAATTCTGTAATTCATTGTGTTGGCTGTCTTTTCTATTTCTGTCTGAAAAAAAAAACCCGTCATGTTTCCTTTTGGCTTCACTATGGGACATTTGTCTGTAGCAGAGGTTCAGTGCTTGAGTTTGCGAGGCAGAAAGTTGAGGTGGTCAAAGTCAGAGGATTTCTGATGATCAGATGACGGTGTGTTCACTCTCTCATTTGTTCATGAGAGTAGAGCAAGAAAATATGGATCTGAACAGTTGGTGGAAGGCCAGACTCCTACTCTACTGTTCCTCCTTCATTCAGAAAATTGATGAGAATTGATCTAACCAGAAAGACCCAAATTACCCATCAAATCAGTACATTAAAGCAGAGGTTCTCCAAATGGAGACATGCCGAGAGGTTGCAAGGGTGTGTGTGAGGACTTTAAAATGAAGAGGCTTGAAGAAGTCCCCTCTGCATTTGAGTTTTATCATAGCAAAATATAAATTCATGTACCAGTTCAGTTTGATGTTTACGCTGTTTCCCAGTTAGATGCACCTTAACAAATTTACCTTACACTTTAATAAAGAACTATAAAGTAACCAATACTATAATACTTGTGCATGTTTATATTGAAGTCAAGAAAACTTTAATCAATTTTTATGCATATTTAAACTGTTTCATATTGCTTCAAAAATAACAACTATAGGAGTTCAACAATTTACTGAACTTGTTAGATGCGGTTATTCTGTATTCTTCTTGGATAACAGATGGGATTTTGGATAACTAAAATTACAATAGTGAAAACAACACAATAATGAGTGTGTAAAACATAGAGATGTCTCTCTAAAACATCTTTAAATAAATAGTTTTATATTTCTCCATTGTTTAATTTGATTCAAATTGACATTCGCAGTGCTTCATGGGATTGTAGTTATTGTACCTTTGTCTTTTTATCCAATTTTCAGAGAACCTTTGCTTCAAATTGAAGTTTGGTAATGTTGTGATTCTCCTCAAAGCTGGTTTGTTTGGTTCATGGCATATAAGTCTTTAAAGAAGACATTTTTTAAAATCCTAATGGGCAAAATGAATGGGAAAAATACTTATGGAAAAAAACTGGCCGAAAAACTGTGTGTCCGCTCACCACTGAATTGGAAATGCTTTTTCTGTGTGTTGTGCATAGGCTCCACAAGCTATTTATTTAATGGCTTTCAAAAGTCATGGTTGTGAAGTGGTGTGAAAATGTCGTACCCGTCCCACATACAAATGACATCAATGTTCTTTACCAAAAAATAGTCAGTTTATTTACAATTTGGTGTTATTCTTTTAATAAAATTTTATTTACAGATGTTTTGTAATAAAAATAATTGTATGATTCATAAGATGGCATATTTGGTATATGTTAACTTTGAAAGGCACAGGATTACATTAAATTGGTTTTCATATAGTTTGGGCAAACTTACAATGTAATCACACACATTTGTTTTTTCTGAATATAAATGCAAATAATTTTGCTCGTGCAACACATACAGAAATACTGGCTTTGCTACACACCGCTAATAACAACAATACCATAATAAGCATTCTGTGTGTATTTTTTTTATTTCTTACTGTGGAGTTTTAAATTAAACTGAGTTTTAAATGAAGGAGTTGAGAATAGCATGCTGCTTTAATTTAACTAAGCTGAATGCTAGTTAATAACTGGCTCTGTCATGATCGTGTTTCACTGTTTTCAATTCACATATGGTGTGATGATAAAGTGATAATATCCGAGTTGGTGAGATGTGTACTTGTAATTAGTCCATTCATTTCCACCAATTATACCGATTTATGATGATTTGTGGACCTATCACAAGCATGAGAGGTGGGCATTAACGCGTTGACAGAAAGACATTGTGATCAGCCAGTCACAGCAAGAGGTGGCAGCTTTCCTGAAACAGTGAGCTCAAGGAGGCAAAGTGCATATTGCTTTGAACATTATTGTAGTTCATATTGCATAATATTTTATATTTGCAATGTTGATTATTTTCTCATCAGACTGAGGTGATGAGGTGCTATGATTTTTTTTATATCCATACAAAATAATGTTTTATATTTATTTACATTTTGTCAAGGAAAATTGTCCATAAATACCTATACATCATATCAGCAAATATATTATGAATCCATAATTCATTGTCCAATGTTCTTGTGAGGCTTCTTAGGTTGGTGATTCTTGTAACAGTAATGTTGTTTGGTCGTTTGCCATGGATTTCATCAGAGTGTTCTGTTCTCTTCTCTGTATAGTATGCATCTGTGGCTCATGAGAAAATGAGTTTTAGTTGTGATAGTCTGTTGACATCTGCTAATAAAAAGGGCATAAACTCTTCCACTGAGTTTACTGCAGCCTTTCTGCCACATTGAACTGCATCTCCATGTGATATACGGAAATGTCAAACCTTAACATAGCGTCCTCAATTATGCTGCCATATTGCTCCATTAATTGAAATACTGTAAACATATATTTAATGGTATGTGAAACTGTGTACGCACTACTCTAACATTTTTTCTGCTTGCTGTGTTTCTGCTTGATCTATTATAACAACAGCAAAAAAATGACTGTTTAAATGCCTTCTTTTTATGCACAAATGTTTAATAACATGTTTATTAATAAGTGCCTTACAGTGCATCAGTGGTATTTCTGCAGCTTGGCCTTTCCAACAGTGACATAATTAGCATGTGCCAAACCAATGTTCATCCAAATCAGTGTTAATTCTGACAGCAAATTTTGACTTATTTTTAGTCATAGTCTTTAGATTAAAACACCACTTTTCAGTGGCTTGTTTTAGTTTTAGTCTAGCTAAATATCATAATATCTAATGGTTTTAGTAATATTAATTAAATCAATGCATTAGTTTAGTTAATGCATTAAGCATTTCTCAAAAATTTCGAACTCATTATAGGTTCTAGAGAAAACATCTGTTGAACATGCAATACATAGCCAGATTTAATTGCTGTTGCATCTTAAATGAAATAAAATCACTTTTCCTAAAGAAACCAGAACACGGTCTTCTTTCCGTAAAATTAAGGACACAGACAGTAGCAGGTGTATTAGATTGCTATCACTTTAGGACCTAATGCACAGGTCCAATATACTGATACCCATCTGATATTCTCCCAACTGTTTATGTTCATTTAAGACCGTTAAGTTCACTTTCGAGTTGTCACAATTTTTCAAATGTATCCATGTCGACTCTGCTCTTTTCTTTCTCTGAAACATTGAAATTGTTGTTCATTTAATGAGACATTCTGCAAGTGTCTGCTGACTTTTTCCCGCCAAGTAGATTAGTAGTTTACAATTCGAAGGTGCGTATCTAACCTCCCTACCATACAGGAGTATTGGGCCCTGTCCACACGAACGTGGTTATTTTTAAAACCGCAGCTTTTTTCTACACAGTTAGGCCATTCGTCCACACGCAAACGCAGCACCAGTTCACTGAAACCGAACATTTTTGAAAACACCTGCCAGGGTGAAGATTTTCAAAAACTCCGGTTTCAGTGTTATCGTGTAGACAGCGAAACTGGAGTTTTTGGCTTGTGACGTCGGAGCCTGCGCTGTTATCTCTGCCTACTGGAAACTTTTTCAGGCTTCTGATTGGCCAACATGGCTTTACGGTTGCGATTATATCGCCACCTGTTGGTTTGGCATGCTCTTGACAGTGCTTCATAGCATGCGTTTGCGTTTTCATGTGGACGGAGATTTTTTTAAAAACGGAAGAAGGAAAAAATACCCGTGTACGTATGGACATGGCCTTAGTTTTGATTGAATCTCCCTCCCTAACATTTTTTTCTCGTTTTTAGCCATTGAAGAAAAGGTCAATAGATTTTCATCATAGTTTGTCATTCAAAACTCCAAACTACTTTGATGTCCTGTTATCCTTCATTTAGAGACTTTTTCCTGGAGCACCTTGCAGTACATTTTTACCACACAAACAATGAATCTGCAGCCTTTAACCTCTAAGCTACAGCACCTAATATGTATCTTTCTCCCATCTTTGCCCTTTTCGTTCCCTGCAGGTATATCAGATCTATGCGCGTCAGTCTGCTGAGGAGGTTCATAAAGTTCTCTGTTCAGTTGGAGCGGACTACATCGTACTGGAGGACAGCATCTGCTACGAACGCAGACACAGCCGTGGTTGTAGGCTGAGGGACCTGCTCGACCTGGCAAACGGACATGTAGGTCACACACAGCATCTCCAGTTCATGCCCACACACACACACACCACACTTGTTCCATTTAAATGAAAGTTTCTCTGCAAGAACCAGAGACTTTTTCCGCAGCTAAAACGAACAACTTTGCCCTTTACTGAATCCTTCACGTGGCTATAAACAAATATCATTTGGGCTAGATGCTAAGCTCACTGGTACTGATTATTTTTATATTAGAAATCTCTTCAGCTCTCTGAGGTGTTTTCATTTCTCCCATAAAATTTCTATAACTGTTTTGTGTAAAGTTGATTCTTACATTTTTCATTTTGTCACATCATCTTGTTCTCACTCACCCACAGTTCATTGTTATTAAATACTGTTTCACCCTGTGCGCAATCTAGCGTAAGTTAGTTTTTTTTTTTTTTTTTTTTGCTTGGGTAGCTTGATTGTTCTTTTGTAGTTGATTACAGTTGTGCATAATATCTGACAAAAGCAAAATTTCCTACTTCTAAGCTGCAGCACTTTGTGTAATGTCTGTGCACACGTCAGCTTTAAAAAAAGAAGAAAAAAAAACATCTCCCCACATCCTGGCAAAAAGCTCCAGCTGAAAATAGCTTGACAGCAGTTGTCATTCATGTGTCTGAGGTGAATGCCATGCCTTTGAAAGATCTCACAGAAGTTTGCCTCACTTGCTCCTCTGATCCGACTTCGAGCAGCCAGTGAAAGAGCCTCACTCGCTTTCTCGTTTGATGAAGCCCGATTCCTTTCCTCAGTCTGCCTCCAGCAGTTTGTATAAGATTCACTCTTGTAACATGTTCTGTGTGCCTGTTATTTTAACCTTGATTAAACCTATCTGGTTTAATTAAAGCTTGCTAATTGCAGACAGAACTACCAAAGAAGGAGTGTATATGTAATAACGATGGCCCAGAAACAGCCATGTGTTGTGTGGGATATTTTTATTTATTTATTTATTTTTCTTTTTTCGATTTCGCTCTGATCTCTCCCATGGGTGGCAGTTCTTTCTATCTCTGGGTGCTTAAATGATCTCACAGCAGCATTTCAAGGCCTTTCTGTTAATTTGGGAATATATCTCAAAGTAAATGTTTAAAAAACCTCAGGGCACAATTTCTCTAAGATTTGAAAGATAAAGAAGTGGAATGCTCTTTAAAAGAAGGCTTCTGAGACTCTTCTTCATCTGAGAATATGCCCTGTATTTTTCACTGTAGAGAAATATCAGCTTATTGGAAAAGCACCGTTTCAAAACTGATTTGTGTATGTGTTTTTATTACAGATCATGGATGGCCCAGGTGAAAACGAGCCAGACCTCATCCCGGCGACTCACCCGCGTTTTTGTGAGGCCATTAAGACCGACATGCCTCCGTATTCAACCCTCTTCACACGAGTGTTCAAAAACAAGACGTTTAACGTGTACAAACTCAAGAAACTCAAGAAGAAAAACAAAGCTGAGAACGGTCCGTAATGCTCATTCCTCAACAGCAGTCGCCCACCTTCAATGGATGGATGAACGCCCCATCTGGAATGTTCAATGAGTGTGTGATAGTAGCAGGTGTGTGTGTGTGTGTGTGTGTGTGTGCGGGAGAGAGATTGGAGAGATGCCTGATTGAGCCAGCACGCACTCGATGATTTGGTGTGTGTTTGTGTGTGTAAATCTGCTCTGAGCCGGTCCGCCGCAACAGGAGCTCAAGTTTAACATGGAGAGACGGGAGGAAAAGCTCTTTTTCTCACAGTCTGTCGCACCTCCTCACTCTCTCTCTCTGATCATCACATCTCTTTCGACACGTGCCCTTCCACCAAACACACATTTATGCTCTTTCTCACACAATGCGAACTAAAGACGCAACAACTGCTTTCACAGACTCATTCCTGTCACACTTCCAACAAAATCAAATGAGGAAATAGCAATGGGTAACAATGCTTTGTAACTGGAATTCACAAGAGCAGTTTGGGGTAATTAGTGACTGTGGCAGTGTTGTCTTTATATCTGCCAAACTGTGTCAAGCTGGGCTACATCCTGCTGTTTGGTTGTGTAAAAAAAAAAAAAAAAACCTGAAGCACCAGCCTTACTCATGGGCATAAAGTGCCATAAATACTCCTAAGAATAAATGTGGCAAAATTTACTTTGACCTACTTTTGGACTAGTGTATATGTTTTGTGCATTACTTGTGTAAGTAGGAGGCCACTATAGATGGTTAAAAAGGATTTAGACATTTGGCATTGTAAACAGGGACATTTTAGTATGTTTTAGGTTGAACAGCTGAAGTGTTCTTAAAGGTTAGACATATCCCATCACATTTCCTTAATCCTGAATTGTGAAGTTGTAGTTCGGTTGAAATATTCAGTTTGGGTATTTTTAAAATGTGGTTAAAAATATTGAACAGTCAACAATGTTATGATGCTAATTTTTCCATCTTAAGCTCTAAAGGAAGAGCCTTTAGTGTATGAAAGTGCCTTTCCATTTTTGGATAAGCTCTGCTTCGCTAGCGACTCGTGCATTCAAAAGACCTTCAAATGAGTGGCCTCAAGTGCTACCGAAATTTACCTACCATCAATCTTTGCTGCTGTGTTTTTTCTTCCCCAGGATATTGGATGAATATCTTTGTACTGAGGTACAAAACCGTTTTAAATAACTTTAAAGTGTTTAAAGATAAACATGGTGTTTCTTTTCTGCAAATTCGTTTTGTAGCATGAGAGCTCCTCTGTGACATTCTGTGATTGTATTATAATATGGTGAATTAGTTGTTGTTATCTTACCTGTCAGACGACTTTCATGTAAACCTTTGCTTCACACAACATCTCTGTCACAACACATTGTTCCTCAGGCGATGATCTTTATGGAGCTGTGTGCTTTGATTTCATATGCTGACATTGTTTAACTGTAAGAGTTATTTGGTATGGCTCATTGCACTAGTTTGTTACTGTGGTATTTCACTCAGATGGATTGTTCCCATTTGTGTCAAAAGTGTTGATTTGTTTTTGGATGTTCGGTGTTCGTTTCCATTTTTGTATTAAAGCAGATTTGAATGGTGGATGCTGCAGATCTGTTACTACAAAAGGACTGCTGTCATTTGAAGTCAAATCACAAAGGCATTTTGATAAATACAGGTCAGAGATTTTAGGCCGCTCTCATTTCATGTTCTGCATTATCCCAAACTAATTACAGCTCCGTTTCCACATAAAATAGGCCACTTATTCATCAAGAGACTTAAAACCCCGCTGTTTCATTTGAATGTAGCAGTATTTAACAGTGGTATTCAAGTATAATTGAAGCCGTAACAGAAGAAATCCATTTATTGAGAAAGAAAAAAACATTTTAAAGGATGCAAATACAAAATGTCAAGATACTTTTACCAACTTAAAGAAGGATTAAATAATACATGAGAAAACAAGCTTTAAACAGAATTAGATCCCTTTATATATATTTTTAAAAAGCAATTACTTTGTTTTGATATGCACAAATGAGGTAAAAACATTGTTTCACAAAATAGAGTATATATTCACCACACAAATAAACAGGTGGCCTTGGTTCAAAATTGGAGAGGAATTGGTTTTGTAAGATAAGGATTTATGTGATTCAAAGACAGAGCCCATCATGCTTCATTCATGAATACTCTCACCTCGCACTGGATCCTCCCCAATCCCCTTACAAGGATGACTTCAAGCGCCAATCCCGTTGACCTCTTTTTAACTCAATGAAATAGCAAGCATTGCACTTCCAGCTATATTTCTTAGCTTCGACTTGGAAACCTTTTTTAATACTCTTGTTGCTGCCTTTGGAAATATTGGCACTTTTTGAGATCCGTAATAAGAGTGATGACTTCTCCATCAAGTTTTCCAACTCCCATGATCCTTTGGTTCACAGCATGACAGTGAGTGATCCGTTCACATTAGGATTAGCACTCTGATGTTTTTTAACACACTCCTACTCGCTCCACTCTCCTCAGCCAGCCTGTCATGCTCCACATACGGCATTCTCCGGAGAAAAAAAAACCAAAATGATAAAAGGAGGGCAAAAAACATTGCCTTAAAATGCATAAAATACAAGGTTGGCATTTGAGGCCTCACTGGGGGAGACTTTTAGTTATTCCATTTGCACACACACAAGCTTGCCTTGCTTTTCCTTCACCCCATGCAGCCTCACCACATGCGTTCACAAGCCCATTAAACATGTTACATGGGAGGTGCTCAGGGTCTGAAACCGCTGGCCCGCCATTCCCAGAATGCACCTGGTGCCGAGGCCCATTTCTTTCACTGCAGTGCCGAATAATGTGATGGGATACAAGGGGTTATTTATAGTAGAACAGGAAATGACAATACAGTTGAGTAAGCTGGTTTGGTTAATAATACAATACTTTCAAAAGGAAGCAAACTGGACTGTAAGCTCACTCCAGTGTTGAAAGCTCCTCCAGCAGAGCTCGATATCACGTTTGAGTTGATAGCATGGAACAACACACACATTCGTTCATTTGTCTTAATGGCTATTCTTTAGCTTGGCAAACTCTGATTGCTACCGCTCAGCAAACCGTGAGAGCCAAGAGAGTTTTCGATAGTTTTCAGCTACAGAAAACTTCCATCTCATGCCAGCCACTCAGCCTTGTGCCTCGTGCCTCAGCCACATTTTTATTCCAGCCGTTCCTTCGCTCCTTTTTGGCTAGAAAGAGAGGACACAATTTGTATTCCCAAGGAATGTCTCCTAAAATGCCAAACAATAAGGCTGCTTTCTGTTTCATTTTCCTCAGTGTTTTTCACTCATCTTCAGTTTTTATTGGTCTTTTTTTCCCGCAGACTGCCTCTTTCATCCTCGCATCCTCGTGAATAGAATCTAAGCGGAGGGCCGAGCAAATAGAAAAAAAAATCAACAGTATCCAAGTATGAAGTTATGATTGATGAACACAAGTGGCCACCCTGACAGAACAAGTGGTGAACTGATTTCAGAATGTGGCCCGTGAAGGAGGAGGACAAACCCCTTCCTAGTCGCATCTGAGCACAGCAGTTTATTTTTCTTCCCGTCTTTCTTTTATTTAAGAACATATAGAACATACAGACATATAGAACACGTCCAAAGCGCTCCGCCAGTGATAGTCACAAAGACAACAAATGGTTCCACTAAAATCATTGTCATCCGCAAATCACTTTAATAAAGATGCCCGTTCTGGGCTTAAAATCTGCCATGACCACAACTTGTGGTGTCCTGGATTAGCACTTCCCATTTGCTACTCATTGAGAGTCCCAAATGTCACCCACCTCCATAGGCAGAGAGAGTGTCTCGCATGAAGTAATGCATCCAGAGGAAGCCAAAGCGTAGGAATTTTCGGCGTAATAAAAATCCCTCTGGTTTTTAGACAAGTCTTTGGTGGTCTCCCTCCTCTCCTCACGCTGCAGGAACTCTTCCCGGCAGTTCCTTAGAGGTCACTGCCCTCGGCCCGCTCGTAGAGGGCTTTCAGCTTCTCGAAGCGCGGCCCCCACTCTTTCAAACACTCGTGACCCGCCGCCGTTCCCTCTTCCAGCCCAGCGGAGCTGAAGGAACTCAGTGACCCGGCCAGCGACCCACCCCCCTCGGTGGAGAAGACCTGCAGCGAGTCGAAGGGCGCCGTCTCCGGTTCACATTTACAATTTTAAGGGTCTTGCAAGACCATTATTAAACTGTCAGACTGTCCAGGCACTGTATGAGGAAAAAATGCTGAAATTTATATAATTTTATCCCTTATTCATTGCCAAATGTGACTCATTTAATTGCCATTTCTGTCTAAAAATGGTCGTCTTCATTAATATGCCTTAAAAATGACCTAAACGCCGCGTTGCTCCCTCTCACTCCATTTCTGTCTCTCCAACAGTGTAACTTTTCACAGTCATTTTTTGAATGCATCTTGTGTGGTTGATATTGAGTGAGAGGCTTCTTCATCTGATTCCAGACAAGCCTTCTGTCTCCTCGCTGCCTGCTTCATCGATCACATGGCCCTCCAGTCTGACCCTTCAGACCCCTCTCAGGATGCCCAAGACCAGCCCAGCATCCTAATCTCCACAACAGAGATGATAAACACTGCATTATAGAAAGACATTCAGGCATCTCTTCTGTTTCTGCTATGGAATGAACTCATGACTCAATGTGAAACACTGAAATTCTAAAGATAACAGACCTTTAGCCAGTGGAGAAATGTGTTTCTCTTCAAGCGCTTCACATATAGCAAAGCCTGAATAGAGCTGTTTAAATATCTATCAAGGTTTCTGATAAACACTGGAACAGAACACGTTAATGATGATTTCTCATGGTCATTAAATTTATTGTTTCTCAAGGAAAACACAATAAATCAATGCCTGGGCAAAGCATTCGGTTTTATTAAATGAAACGCATTGTTCATCCATTTAATATATGTGATTATTAATTTAATAGCATTGACACTCTCCAAAAGCAGCCCTGAATTTATTTTACCATACAGAAAATCACAAAGGATGAGAAGGCAGTAAAGGCAAGAGGAAGAAAAGATAAATCGGGAAACTAAAAATGAATTACTCAATGCTCTACAGACAAGAGTTTGTGTTGTTCATCCCTATGTTCTCATTTGCATGGTCTCCTCTATATTTTAACCTTTTTTCACTTACCGTCTTTACCACAATTAGGGCTAATTTATTAACTAATCAGATAACCAGTCACTGAAACCTCAGGAGTCTTGCCCAAGTGTAAATGCATCTGGTCGCTCAGACCACATTTGAAAACTTTACTCCTACTTCTCTTTCTTATGTTTCCATTCTCTCTGCCTACACTTTGCAGCTATTTTTTTTACGTGATCAGATTACAAATTCTAACCACATTAGATAATCTGCATACAAGTAATTTGTAATACAAAGATTGTGCTACATATAATAATTATTCACCACTTTGACAAAGTGGGTTGTTAATGTTTGTGTACATTAAAGATGTACACTTTAATGTGTAAAACTTTATAGTAACTTTAATAAACATTTAATAAACAATATCCCATCAATGTTTTAGGTCTTTATCTGATCACACCTGAGACACAATAGAATGCAGTTGTAAATGCAATCCAGCTAAAGAATATCCAGAAATCGGGATCTGGAATATATGAAACCATGTGATGACCACTTTTTTCACACTTACATTCAATGTCTCTGGAAACACTCTCCACCTTCAAATGCTTCAAATCAGTATGAGCATATGATACTGACATTTACTGCTATCATCACGTGAACTAATCTACACACGTACACCAGAGAAAGATAATAATAATAAAGGTTGCATACTATCACATACTATTCCATTTCCCTCATCCACATCCACACACACACACACTCATGCACAGTTTTGGAGCTCACCACTACTTGGCTTAAATGCTCTGAAGCCTCAACAGAAGATCAGCATGTTTGCACTGACTTGACTTTGTGTCTGTCTGGATTTGCCTACATTATGGAGCAGCTGTCCTCACAATGAGAGAAAAACCTGAACTCAACTATACATATTGTCAAGCCAAGAGTCCCCCCGATAAAAATCTTAATAAAGGTAATAAATAATATCTTAATGAACATGTACAATTAGTACTGTCAAAATTAGCGTGTTAATGCAAGCGATACATGTTTCCAGTTTAACGGCATAAAAAAATGTAACACAGTTAACGCAGGGGTGGGGCTACTGCTGCTTCTGTCTCTCTTTTTTTCTTGACAAGAATTGTGTTTATTTAGACGCAGAGTGTCTTTACGACCACATCAAGCGGGAGAGTCTTCAGGTGCGCTCTCTACTACGCCTCAGCGCCAGGCGTTGTTCTCATTTACTTTGAAAAAATACTGCGATTATCCCTTTATATTCTGACAGTATATCTGTATAGCTTTCAGATGCTTGATCTGTATGTGGGTGACGTGCATGTAATACTTCAGCACACTGTCTGTATGCATTTTCTTAAAAAAATCATTCATTCAAAACTGACATAATGCAAAATTTCAAAGAAATCCTATGCTATTAAAAGCATTATTACTATGCACACCTTAAACTGGTTTTGGACACCCACAATGACAACTGCAATGCAAATTATAGAAACTTTGTGGCAGCTTTAGAACACATTGTGACATTAAATGTTCAATGGTTAATGATTAGGAAAATGAGGATGTGGAAAATAAAAGGACAAAATTTGACAGGTTTAGTTGAATGGGAAAAATCCAGAAGTCCTGAGATCTAAATGTAGGTAAAAAAGTTTTATGGGGCATATTTTTTAATCTCAGAGCAGATATCACCAAAATTCATGGAAAATGAAGATAGGGGTACTGACACTTTGCTGAGAGTCTCTTAACTGAAAGAAACTTTTCACACAGACATTAAAAAAGGATCCCATGAGAGTCACAGAGAGAGAGAGATTGTCAAAGAGCACTATAAACCATAATCATTCAAGTCCATCTTTTGAAGTTATGATGGGTGGTTATTCCCGCAGGTGAGCATCTACACTGTGTGAATGTCAAATCTGCATATCAGCTCTGCTGTAGAAAGATACTTGAAAACCCAGGTGTAATAGAGGACAAGTGATGCATCTCCACAGTGGGTTCTCTGGACAGCTTGCTGCACTGAATTATGATCATTGTAGAGTCAGTATCCAGTGTTGAATTCTCTTGTGATTTGTAAATTAACAGGTACAGAGCATAACAGTCACATAATCCCTTAGGGGCCATTTACACGACAAAATGGAAAGCTTTGTATGTATTTTGACTTCATTTACATGACAATGGTGTTTTGGAGGCCTGAAAATGCAAACTTTTGAAAACAGGTTTCAAAGTGCAAGTTTGTGAAAACGATTCCATTATTGTCTCAGTGTAAACAAAATAGGTATTTTTGTGAAAACAGTGACATCAAACGAGTGCACATTACGCATTCGTGTAGAGTTTCTTTACAAAGTGACATCAACTACTGGCCTGGCATGCATAATACAGTGTTCTTTTCACGGATCCATGTGAACAGGGATCGTTTGACAACGTTGTTGTCTGTATGTGATAAACACAAAGGTAAAATGTTTCCATTTTTAGTACATCGTTGTTGTGTAAACGTACTCTTAGACACCACAATAGCGAAATAAAACCCTCAAAAGTGGCAAATACAAGAACAATCCAAATGCTGTTCATAGCCATTACACCACATTTCCCTATTATCTGCTCCTGGAGTTTAACGGATGGACTTTTTCCCTCTTTGCTGTTTATGATATGTTAGTCAGCAAGGGGCTGTTTTTCAGTGGGGAAGAGTGAGGCCTGATTGGTTAGGTGGAGGTGTAGTGTTAGCACGTTATGCTAAACCTATTAACCGCCTTACAGGGAAAAAAATCTTCTTTATGCTGTGCCGAAGCCCTTCATATGGCAGAGAGAACCATATTTCTCTGACTTGCCGCTTGTCTCCATTTGGAATCGTTCCAAACCGGCAGGATGTAATGCAAAAAAAAAAAAAAAACAAAGGAGGAAAAAAAAAATGAGGGGGTGGGGGTTAAAAACCTTACGGGCTACTTAAATTCAGTTGAGGACGGTCGGGACCATTGAAATTCTGCCCAAAACCCTAATGCATTGATCTCAATTTCCAGCCCGGCTTGGGTAAACAGCACAATGTGTGCCTACAAATCAAGTAATTAACACTTTAAAAAGCAACTGGAGCTGTTGTCCCCATTTGGAATCGTTCCAAACCGGCAGGATGTAATGCAAAAAAAAAAAAAAACAAAGGAGGAAAAAAAAAATGAGGGGGTGGGGGTTAAAAACCTTACGGGCTACTTAAATTCAGTTGAGGACGGTCGGGACCATTGAAATTCTGCCCAAAACCCTAATGCATTGATCTCAATTTCCAGCCCGGCTTGGGTAAACAGCACAATGTGTGCCTACAAATCAAGTAATTAACACTTTAAAAAGCAACTGGAGCTGAGAATGAATAGGGTCATGTCAAATCTATAATGGAACGAAACTGTGAGAGGAGGAAAAAGATTGTTTGGTTCCCTTTGGCCTCGCCGAGCACAGCCATGCAGGCAGATGAGGACGTCAGAATGAAGGGAGTTAATACGAGTTTCAGCAGTCATGATCATTGATTATGTAGACTGTGTTCTTTACCGCTGTCAGACAATGCTAGTAAAATGCAACACATGGGAAAACGATTGATAAAAACCTTGGCATATGTATGAAATATATACATATACCAAACTCTAAGCTACTACATAGGAAAAGCCGGAACAGTCATATGAATAAATACATATCAATAATCACAGGGCAAGAATATTAAAGTGCCAACCATCAAAATAAGTTTTAAAAATACATGAGGTTCAGCAGAGGAGGAAGAGCAGAGTTAATATTTATGCGACAGAAAACTGGGATGATCCATTAATTGAAGCCTCCTACTGAAACTAATCTTTCACAGAAAACCAACAATCGGTGTCGACTGAGAGAGACATTATCATTAAACACAATTAAGTAATTAACTGTGCTTTTGCAGTTAAACTGTTCATTAAAACTGTAAAGTTCACCAGTAGTGGTGCTGATTAGCTCATTTTTAACCTTGTGCAGTCTTCGGTCACTTTTGACCAAAAAATTTTACATTTTGAAATTTAAAAAATTGTAGCTTAATTGATTCCAAATTGGTACGAAACTTGGTGACTTTATGGCAATTGGTATGTGAACACACACAAAAAAAAATTGAGGGCATGATTCGAAAAAGTTAAGTGCTTGTAAAAAAAAAAAGTCACACTCATGGTCTTTGGTCAAAAATGACCGACCATAGGAAATTAATGGGAAATGGCAAAAAAAATGTAAAATACAGAAAATGTTTGTGTGTACAATCTACATATCCCCCACGATGCAGAAAAAAATGCACAGCAATGAAGGGGTGATACTCTAAAACAGGGGTGCCCAAACACACACCCATATGAACTGGTGCGCCTGTAACACAGCAACTATGTAAAATAAAATCAATAATTAAACTACAATTTAGTAAAGAAGTGGACAGCAAGGAAGGGGTTACACTCTAAAACATCAAGAGTGCAAAACAGACACATCCACTCACACACACACAATTATACACACACAAATAAATTGGTATGGCTATAACCATATAGCCAAAATAAGTCAGAAAACTGAAATAAGAGGTTGAAATCAGATCACTCAGAAGGATTGAGCTCTGATAAAGCATTCCTGTTTATTTTTGTTACATTTTTATAGAATTTTAATGTTTTGTATAACAAAATGCTTTCTGTATTCAGGTTTGACTGTAGTAATAATAATTCAAAAACTGACGCTTCAAATCAACATTTAAAACAACAAAAAAATATAAATCTTGATAAAAAGTAGTCTTTGAGAATCCCTTAATATAAATTGAAATCCACAACCTAATAAAAGTATGCAATTATGTATAAAAGCAACTAGGGAATTCAAAAGCCTCTCTATAGATTCCTATACAGGCTAGTATAGGAATCTAGTGGTTACACCATTAAATTACATGGGTTTCTTTCTTTGCTCTCACCAGGAGGTGCTACTCTGCCTTAAAAAAATGGATTTTAAAGGCCTAGTCTCTATTTTAATCTGAGATACTGCATTAATTGAAAAAAAAAAAAATTAATTAGTGAAATTTTAATATACTATTTTCAATGGGACAAATTGATAATAATTATTGCATAAATATTATTACAATAAAATTCTCTCAAAATACAAAATAAAAATATTATTGAACAAAAATATATTAGATTGAGTTTACTGAAGAAAAAGAAACGTTACATTTTAGGTGTCCGGTCACTTTTGACCACGAAGACCATGAGTGTGATTCACAAATAAAGACCGCACAAGGGTTTTAATGCAACTCCCATTCATCAATGTAGCAACACCAATGAAGCACTGGTATTATGACAACAATTATTATTAGTCACCAATATTAGATTATAGGCCCATAAAATAACATAGGTGAACCAATTAGACAAAAACAAAGGATTAATTTCAAATCAGGTTGGTAACATTATGAAGGTGAATAAGTTTTTTTTTTTTTAAGAGCACATGCTGAAGATAGATACCTAGTAGGGCCATAAAGCAGATGCATATGGCAAAGAGGGAGCTGAAACTGAGGCCCACGTCATCTCGGTAGATGGCCAGCGTCACCTCACAGTGCCGGCCGCGGTAGCCCTCTGGACAGTGGCATGTGAATTTGGAGGGAGACTGTGCCACACAAGTGCCCCTGTGACATGGGCGGCTGGCACAGAGCGTGTACACACAGAATTTACCAGTGGAGTTTGCCTTGACCATGTGACCTGGGGGACACCTGCGATTGAAGGAGACAAAGAGAGAAAAGCATTAATCAAATGGTAATATATGATGTAAAAAAAAATAAAAAATAGTGAGTAACTGATGACAACATAAATAACACAAATGATTCAGGTTAGGAAGTTAGTTGTTTCTTTAATTAATGGTAAAGTGTACATTTATTTCCAATACTTCCTCTGGTGGTAGTATTTGAAAAACCTGTTTAGAAACCATTTAAAAGTAAAGATTATTTGGTGCTGCTAGTGGTGCAGAAATTAGAGGACACTGTTTTACAGAAAAAAAACTAAAATTAAAATTGGGGAAAACAGTACTAAAAAAATTTTTTTTTTTTCATTATTAAATAATTTATTTTATTGATAATTTTGTTTGGTGCTGCTAGTGGTGCAAAAATTAAAAGACACTGGTCAATAGACAATGGAAAATTCCTTGGTACAACTAAAAATGTCCACACAATGTTTGTAAATGCAAAACTGCTCACAGTGAGCTGGTACATTTAAAAAACTGTGGGAATAAAATAAGCTTGAGATCACACGCTGCATTTCTCTTTGCCCAGGAGATCAGTGTAGAAACAGAGCACTGAAAGAATTCAAAATTTGTCTGAATATATGACTAAAAATCTTGATGTTCTCTCTAAAAATCTCAAGGGAAAACACACATGCACACAGTGCGAAAATCCAATGTGACCGGCACCGAGCGTGCTTATAAAACTATCGGCAAGTCAGAGGCAATTCCTGTAGAAAAACAACAACATACAATCATAGACACAATCAATACACAGCAGCTGCGCAGCTTTCACTGTCAGAGAGGACAGGGGATAGGTCCGGGGTGAAGAGCAGCCCACATATATCATACCTGCCAATCTGCCTTTGACTGAGGCATATTGACACACAACCCCAGAGCCAAAGTGCATAAGGCTTGGCTAAGTGGAGCACCCTACTGCGGTGTGTCTTACATTGAGCAGATTAGAGCAGATTTTTATTAAAACTAACCTATTTACCTTGTTTCTTTTTTTGAACAGGATGAAGATGTTTACATGTTTTTTTTTCTCATTTAGTACTGCCCTTCAGAAGCTACAGAACACTTACATGTTTCCCATTAGACAATACGTACAATTTGGGGGGTTAAAACTTTCAAAAAGCCCCCCTCCCCCCATATTTTAATGAATTGTGTTTCCTTTTTGCACATCAGTGAATGTTTGAACCTTTGGTAACAGTTGTGTATGAGTTCCTCAGTTGTCGTCAGTGTGAAAAAAATGGATCTCAAAATCATACAGTCACTGCTGGAAAGGTTTCAAATATGCCAAAGATGCAGGACCTGGATTACTTTTTCTGAAGAACAGTGGGCAGTTTAACTGTTCAGGACAAACAGGGGACTCGAGGATACCCATTACAAAAAAAACAAAAACAATGTAAACTTTTCAACATGGTCATTTTTATAAATTCAACTATTATTTTGTCTTATTGGCTATATGTACACATCTATTAGGTAAAATATCTTATTCAGGATGGTACAAAATAAAAAAAATAGCATGCATTTTGTATGATCCCTATTATTTAGGTAAAATAATAAACATTCTGCAAGGTGTATGTAAACTTTTAACCACAACTGTGTGTATTTGTGTACCTGCATTCATAGATTCTCCACAGGTCCACGCAAGTAAAGGGGGGACTACATTGGTTTTTCCGGCAGGAGTCAGAGGAACAACCCAGAGACACACCTTGAGAACTGACCAACGATACCCCCTCTCTGGCCTGACCGTCCAGAGGAATAAACCGCCCATTGAGTCTCAGGTCCCGCATACAGCCTGTGCCAATAAGGAAAAACAAAACAAAAGCCAACATGTTTCATGTTACAGTACAAATATAGCATAAAGTGTGAATCATCCTCTTACACCTACATAACATACACTTGCTTCTTCACACACACACACATAGATAAACTGAGCTCAACATGATCCACTCATATTCTGAGCTTTTAAGAAAAGTGCTTTTGTAGTCCATTTAATAAACACACAAAGTGTGTGCCTCGGGCTAACCAGCGTGCCTGCACACAGGGAACTATTCCACCTCCTCTTCTCTTTCATGTCACATGTCATTGTCTCCCTTCCCTCCCGCAGTCAGTTTTTATGCTAGCTGTACTTCCCCTCTACACTGAAGGTGCAGTTGAGGCTATCATGAATTAATCGTTCCTATTAATTTTTCATTATTGCCAATACAATAGTGTGTAATCATGACAGATAGAGGAACTGCTGTATGAATTAGCTGATAAAGCTGTTCAGAGTCGTCTGCTTGATGTACACATGTGCTGGCTAAGTCTTTTCTCTGAAGTTAAATTGGATTAGTGGTAAAACGGCAGTCTACTTCACAGTGCTCTGATATAACTCAGTGATTGGATTTTTCTGGCCATGGGACGCAGCATTTTTGTTAGCTCAAAATGTCATGCTACAGTGTTTATTGGAGTTGTCCGCAGCTCACCATGCACACTTTGATATATTGACTCCATTTAATTTATTGTAACCAACTCATCTATTGCGAGAAGCTCTGGACAGACTGCTAATCAACTCTGAGACGCCAGCCAATGGAAATTAACAATCAGGGAGCTGTATTTGGTGCTGCTTTGAAAGTATAACTTTGCGTAGTGTGGTATGTTTTTCACGCCATGATGCTTATTAGCCAGTTCTATCATATGTGCCAGGTTTGTTTTCTCTTAATGTAGACACAACAGAACAAGGTAAAACAGAAATTAGACAATGTGTTTGGATCTAGAATAGCATTTCATAACCTTTTTTTTTTCAGCAATGTGTTTTTTTGAAACTCATACTTCATTTAGCATTAGCAGTAATGTTAGGAAAGAGGCTAAAAACAGTTGCACAAGCAGGTGAAGACAGTCTCAACAACTAGTTTCTTCTCACGTTAATGAGACACCTGAGCTTGTTTGTCGTTAGCAAGTTATGATAGGTCTGGAGGCAATTGTGCATCTGCTGTTGTATTGTTTTGAAGAAAACAGACAAAAAAGAGGTTATTTGTCATTCATTATTTGAATTTTCTCACAGCCCTGATGCTTTTATTGTATATTACTTAGAATTTTTCGTTTGAATGGCAGTGAATAGTACAACATGGATTGGAAATACGATTTCCAGAGATCTGCATCATGTGCCACTGGAGAGTTGAGCTTCAGGAGCACACCTGTACCTTACCTTGGAAGCTCTTGTTGTGTCCTGAGGGGAACGAGTTGCCCAGCATCACCACAGCGGGATCAATAACAATCTCCCGACTGCGACCCGGCGATCCCGTGACCTCTCGCCGTCCTCCCCCGCCATCCAGACGCAGGGTCAACTCATTGTCATGCCGATCTAAGTGAATGTCATGCCACTCTCCATTGTCTAAACGATAAGAGGGCATTGTCAAGTTGAAGTCCCCATCACCAAGGTTGTAGAAGACACTTAACAGACCCTGATAGATCTGAGAAAGTGGGACAGAAAAAAAAAAGAGAGAGAATGGTTTCAGTTAATAAACTCATTTAGAATTTTGTCAATTATCTGAGGAATAACAGTGCCGGAAAACAGTGCCAGAGACAAAGAAAAATTGTGAAATTATGAAAATAGTGGTATTGAAGTATAGAGAGGGGCTCAGTATGGGATGAGATAGACCCAACGGGGACTTAAGACATCAGACTGGGGCAGGATCTGATAAAATGACAGAGCACTAACAGAATTAAACATATCAGCCCTTTAATTGGAGACAGTGGGAGCAGGGAATGCAATATGGTGTCAGTGAGGTTTGCCACTATATTCTTATGTTGCCTCACTGACTCTCTAGTGGTCAGCTGTGAGACTTTCTTTTACTCTCTCTTTCCCTTTGTGAGCTCTTCTTAAACCGATTGTTTCTTATAAATCAAATGTTTCTAAGGAAAGCGCTATTATTTATGAGGGTTTGTAGGATAAAAAGTGTGTAATATCAAAGTACGATATAAAAGCCTGCAGTTTCATGCTTTGAATCATCCAATATCCAACAAGCCCATCACTGTAATGCCTTATTTTTAACAGTCTAATAACAATAATTTAACTGGGGTTTTACTTACAAGCATATAGCCATAGCGTCACACCTGGAGAAAAAAATGCCAGGTTTGACAATGAAGTGTGTTTTTATTTGTGAGAAAGAGCGGCTGGCTGATCTCCTGAAGAAAGCCCCAACCTTCATTTTAATTTCAGAATCTTTCTGCTTGTGTCCCAGAGAGCATAATTTGCCAGCCTCCATTGTGGATCCTGGCTTTGTGGTGATGTAAAAAGCAGGACTAATCAATGATGCAAAAGGCAGTGAGGCTCTCACATTTCAACAACAACTGTAAATAGTTTACACAAACACGGTTGACCTCTGTGAACTTGGCACCTTCCTCCTCTCCGACAACCTACTCAGTTTCACCTGCGGTACAGCTCATGAGAATAATCTCAAACCGGATTGTTAGAGTATTTCAAGGCTTTGCTATGCTGGGTAGCTATTAAAACCTGAAGGCGTACTAATTAACAAGAACATTAACTTTAATCTCTCCATGGAAAATCTTTGGGCTTTTTCCTCATGCCCTAAGATTTACCCCATAAATGCTCACTCTCTTCCCTAGTTGGTGTGAAACGTGTCTCCATGCCGCTCATCCCCACCCAATGATCCAGAAACCAATCTCATCATCTGGAGCAGCAGGTGAAGCCATCTGCCCAGTTGCATGTTTAAGAATTAAAAGTCATTTAATCATGGCTCATTATATCTTAAGTGCATAGCGCTGAGTATGCCTGGGTTCCCCAACCACCTTTTCATCTTTTGTTACGTGTAAAAAATATTATGAGACATCGTCAATCAGTGTCATGACAAATCTTGGGAATCATTAAATAAACTCTTTTTGGCGATATGCTATAAAGAGATGAGACATCAGGTATTAAATCAGGACTGAAGTGTTTTCTCTGAGGCGGAAAGGTAGGCAGTGGCTCAAAAAATAAAATTAAAAAATAATTAAAGGGGGCATCGGATGCAAAATCCACTTTTACATGGATAAACACAGCCACCCTATAATGATAAAAATCCATCCAGTGTTTTTTTGTTTTTTTTTAATCCCCACAAATAAAGCACTTTCTCAGAGCAAGCTGTTCACAGATTTTTGGCAAAGTGACGTAAGTTTGCCCAGGCCCCTCCCACGACTATTGATGAACACTGCTATTTTAGCATAGAACCGCCCTGAGTGAGATGTAAACAGTCCGCCATTGTTTTGATGCCGGAGCAGATGTAGACAAGAATGTCTCCTAAGCGATTGAAGTGTTCTGTTGTTGGATGCAATAATGAAGATAGCAGTCGTCATTTACTGAGCCACTGATGATGCAGTGGATTACTTTTGTTTTTGAAGGGAATGCACCCCCCAATCTACCTAAATGTGTTTATGTTTGCGCGAATCATTCATGATTTAGCTTCACCTCCAGAAAAAGCGAGTATAAGTTTTTTTTTTTTAATGAATCTTTGCAAATCGCCTTTCCTAATAATGTACTAGTTAGAAAGTTCCACAGAAGAGAGGGGCGGGGTGAGCAGAGCTCATTAGCATTTAAAGGGACATGCACTGAAACGGATCGCTGTGAAAAGAGCCGTTTTTGACAGGGTAAAAAGGGGTTGTTTTACACGACCATTGAGAAATTTTAACCAAAGTATGTTATAGACTTTTCATGAAGACCCTAAAGATTCATACCAACTTGGATACCAACGTGGAAAATGGGCATCCAATGTCCCCTTTAAAATTACTACTAAACTACTAGAAAAACGATATTTCTTATTTTAATTCATCCCCTAAATGACTTAAATTTTTTCACTGAAGATCTAGAGGTCCCACATTCTTATATATACAGTGCCCTCCAGTGGTGTGCAAAGTGGCGCTAAAGTGCCCTTACTGTGATTTCTACCGAGTGGGAAAGACCGCGATTTCTACTAATTTCTAAACATCCCATAATAAAATGTCACATTCTCCAGAAGAAGTGAGTATATAATGTAAGTATATAATATAAGAGTTTCTGCCTTTAGTCTCCTCTTTAGCTGGTAAATTTCATGTTCAATATAATTTAAATCTGGAGATTGACTGCCAATCTAAGACCTTCCATTTCGTTGCCCTGATAAGCTCCTTGACTGAACTGGCAATGTGTTATGGGCCATTCTCCCATTGCAATATGAAGAGTTTTCTGATGAGTCTGGTGACATGTTCTTGAACATTGGTTGCCAAGATGGTTTTGTACCTTTCCAAATTAATTCTGCTGCTGCCATCATACATTAAGTCATCAATATAGTCGAAAGGGACTGTTCCAGAGACAGCCATGCATGCCCATGCCATTATACTACCTCCAGTATGCTTTACAGATGAGGTTGTATGCTTAGAATCATTCGCAGTTCCTTTTTTTCACCACACTTTTGCTTTCCCATTACTTAGATAAAGGTTAATCTTTGTCTCATCTGTCCATAAAACTCTTTTCCAAAACTCACCTTTCTGCTTTTTTGCCAACTCTAATCTGGCCCTTCTATTTTTGGTGCTGATCAGGGGTTTGTATCTTACTATGTAGCCTCTGTAATTCTGTGTCAAAGTCTTCCGCTAACATTACATTGTGAGACCATCATCCCAGCTTTCTGGAGGTTGTTGGTGATTTTACAGACACATATTTTAGGGTTATTTTTCACAGCTTTTATGATTTGTCTGTCATCAACTGCTGTTGATTTTCTCAGCTGACCAGTTTGTTGTTGGTTGCTCACGTTGTTGGTGATTTCTTTCTTTTTCAGGACATTTCAAACTGTTGATTTCTTCATGCCCACTGTTTTTGATATGGTTCTAATTGAGTTCCTTTTTTTCTTTTAGCATCCACATTGCTTGCCCCTCGACTTCATCCTGTTTTTTTTTTGTTTTTTTTTGTGTCATCATCAAATGCAAGACTCAGAATGCAGAAGCAATGGATATAACTGATATGACACATTCACTGCTTTTAATATCTGAACAATTCATGCAACAGGACACAGCTGATGACTTAGAAAGACCTGTGAGCCAACTGTCCCAAAATGTATGCTCATACCAGATGGCGGGATGAAAATCTAAAAGTGCGGATCGTCTTAGATGGTAAAACAAGTATGTGTTGAAACACCCAATAGTAAAATGTTACATTCTGTAGTTTTGTCTCAGATTCATCTTTTAATCATATTTACAGATTTCTTGACTCCACAGCAAACAGATCAATTTTGTTTTTACTGTCCCAATACTTATGGAGGGCACTGTATGTATATTTATGAGGTAACCTTATTTTAAAAGTATTAATTCTATACCTGGGAAAAAACAAATTTTTTTAATTCTAATGGTTTTTTTTTTTTTTTTTGCAAAAAAAATATATACATTTTTCAGTTATGCCAAGTTCTAAATATTTTATCAGGTAGAAATTGTAAGTAAAAATATATATTTAAAAATCCAGTAAATCATGTTATCCAGTAAATGATAAACAAAAGTCATGTAAATCAATTGGCTGGAGTGGTAATCTTGCAGAGCATTCACAACTCCTGGAATGGTTAACTTTAATTATTTTAGTTGGAGTCAAAAAGATTGAGAACCACCGTTTTAGAGGTCTATATTTTGGTTTTTCTGCTTATTCTCAAAATGGAAAGATAGTCTCAAATACGGTATTCAAATGTTTTCTGTGAGCTGTCTATCATCAAAACCTTCAAAATACTAAAAACACTACTACATAATGAGCACATTGCAACTGAATGATGTTACCTGAATATGATTTAACATTTGGCTCTGTATTATGCATCTCACCAAGTTTAAATCTCTTCTGTATATTGTGACGAGCGTCCCGAAGCTTCATCAGCGTCGCCCTGGAAACAAGCGAGGAGCACCTGGCCATCATCATCACAGGCTGATCGGTCACAGCTTCACCTCATCAGGCGGCGGCTACATAAGCCACGCAAGCCCTGCCATCTAGGAGATTCCTCCATGAGACTGAGCACTAACTCGCCCTCTCATTTTCCCCACAGAAAGCAGCGTGTGACCGACCAGCCCCACAGGAGCACTGCACGGACCCTCTGCACTGGGAAGATGGAAGAGAGCACTCACGGCACCGGAGTACCTACCTGGACCTTTCTCACTATCACCCAGCACCCCAATAAATCCACCCTCCGGGGTATTGATTGAGAATCGAGCATGTAAAACAGATGAGGGAAAGGATCGACCGGGTCATGCCATTAGTCCGGGAACACCTGACGAAGGCGCAGCAGGCCCAACAGCGCCACTATAACCGGGCAGCCCAACCACGGGAGTTCCAGCCCAGAGACCGAGTCATGGTCCTAGTCCCCAATGCGGCCTGCAAATTCCTGGCCACCTGGCAGGGTCCCTATACGGTGCTGGAGAAGATTGGGCCGGTGATGTACCAGGTGCGTCAGCCAGGAAGGAGGAGAGCTGAGCAGCTCTACCACATTCACCTCCTGAAGAAGTGGGTGGGGACTAGAGACCAGCTCGCGGCCCTCGCCATCTCTGATCCCGTGGTTGTTGACGTCAACCCCCACCTCTCGGCTGCCCAGAAGAGGGAGCTGCAGCACCTGGGCGGTCAGTTCTCTGATGTGTTCTCCTCTCTTCCTGGGCGGACCAACGTCCTGCAGCACGACATCCGGACGCCGCCAGGAGTCGTCGTCAGGCAACGGCCCTACCGCATCCCTGAGGCTCGTCGGCGAGCTATTGAGGAGGAAATTCAACAGATGCTGAAGTTGGGGGTGATAGAACCATCACGCAGCCCATGGGCCAGCCCCATCGTGATGGTCCCGAAACCGGACGGCACCCTCCGTTTCTGCAACGACTTCCGTCGCCTCAACGAGGTATCCGAGTTCGACGGATACCCCATGACTCGGGTGGATGAACTGTTGGACCGGCTGGGAAGGGCCCGGTATATCTCAACGTTGGACCTCACCAAAGGCTACTGGCAGGTACCCCTCTCTGAGAGTGCTAAACCCAAGACTGCTTTTTCTACCCCTAGTGGCCACTGGCAGTACCGGACCCTTCCTTTTGGCCTCCACGGGGCACCCGCCACGTTCCAGCGGATGATGGACATCCTGTTGCG